ACACTGCTGAGGGGAGCAGCGGGCGGGTCACGAGAGGTCTGCTGCGCCATGTGGCCATGTGGTCACCTCCGGGGCAGGCGGGGATCGAACTCATGTGGAAGTGGCTTTAGCTTCTCAGTGCTGTGCTTTAACCCGCTGCACCACCATGGAGGGCCGAAACTGCCTTTTAAAACAGTTCAGGCTGGAAAAAATGTAAATTCTAGAATAATGATATTAGAGATCAAGAAAGCTAGATGGATTTAGAGGCTATTGAGGAAGCACAATTGAAAGAACATGTATATGAGAAGATCTAGAGCCATTAATTGGAAATAATAACTAATTGATGATGATTTCATTGGTTGAGATGATGTACGTAAAAAGATGGTGTAATCAGATTAGATTGTGACTTTAGTTTGGGGGAGATGAATGTGAGTGCCTGTGAAATACTGGAGTGAAAATATAAAGTAGGCAGCTCAACAGAGGTATAGGGGAGTGTACCTACCAGTAGGTAGAAGTTAAAGCCTTGAGCAGGAGTGAAATAGCCTGTGGAGAGACTACAGAGTGAAAATAGAAAAGGAACTGGAACTAAACCTTGAGAGTTTCCAAAATGTACTAACTAAAGGAAGGATCCACCAGAGGGACTCTGAAAGGGACTCTTCAGGAAGTGGGAAGAAAACTAGGAATGCATTGTTGACCATTGACATCATGGTTGACTGTTTTCTTTCACATCTTAAAAGATATCCTTGCAGCATTCTCTGGATTACACTGGTTGTGACAGACCATTTTGCATTCTCACAGGCAATATATGAGAGTGACTAATAACTCTTTGGTGAGCTGAGATGATATTCACCTGTTGTTGTTTTTACCTAATATTCTGAGGAATTAATTTTGTGAAGTTTAGAACTTTTATTCTAAATTTTTCTGTCTTACTTGCCTTGAGAAAGAGACATTTGGAGTTACTTTACTAGTTGGAGTTTACAAGTTGAAGTTGAAAAGTGTCATTGCCAACATTTTATGAAAGAAATCTATAACATCTGTTTTATATTTAGTGGTTTGGACTTTCCTTGGGGAAAATAGATAACTTACAATCACTTCTCTAAGAATCAAAATACACATACAGTTTCTTCCAATAATGCAAAACTATACATACCTATATAATAGACTACCCTTTATGTAGATGCAAATGGGATGAAGGAATTGACTTAACTGCACTTTCAAATCAAGTTCTTTTTAAAAAACGTACATAACAGAACCATCTCTTACTCTCTTTGAGTATTTATAGAGTATATGTATACTGTGATTAAAGTTGGCTGTTGCAGTTTAGATTTTTTCTTAACTTTCTCATATGACTTTGAGAGACTATTTTCTTCTCCCTTGTTTGATGGAGATTAAAATATCATGTCATGTTAACCCATATATTTTAAATAAATAACTGCTGTTCTTCATAGGCCCATAATTTTGGAGAGTAATTTGTTCTCTCAGGAATTAAAAAAAAAATCCTATATATCAGAGTAAATTTTTTTTTTTAAAGATTTATTTATTTATTCATATAGAGCTGGGGTACAGGCCAGAGATGCGGAGGGTGAGAGGCTTCACCAGAGACAGAGTGGGGAGCAGAACAGGCAGATCGACGAAGCACACTGCTGAGGGGAGCAGCGGGCAGGCCAGGAGAGGTCTGCCGCGCCATGTGGTCACCTCCGGGGCAGGCGGTAATCTAACTCATGCGGAAGCGGCTTTAGATTCTCAGTGCTGTGCTTTAACCCGCTGCGCCACCAGGGAGGGCCCCAGAGTAAATTTTAACACCTAATCTCCACTCTCCACCAAGCTATGTAAAACAGATGCTTCTTTAGAAAAATGTCTTTAGATCCTCTGCTTATTTTTAAATTGGATTGTTTGTGTGTGTATATATTTATTTATTTATTTATTTGGCAGAATTGTATGTGTTCTTCATGTATTTTAGATATTAACCTCTATTAAAGTGTGGTTTGCAAATATTTTGTCCCATTCAGTAGGTTCCTCTTTATTTTGTTGATGTTTTCCATTGCTGTGCAGAAGCTTTTTTGTTCGATGCAGTCCCTTGTACCATGTTTATTTTTGCTGTTGTGGCCTTAGTTTGTTGTTGTTGTTTGGTGTCAAATCCATGCTTTGTTGTCATTACCAAGACCGCTGTCCTCATCTTGCATGATCTATGCTGGCTGGAGAGAGCAATCTTTCCAATGCCTTTTGCTTTTTTAATTCCACATTTTAACAGTTTTGCATTGCAATCTGCTCTAGCATTCATATTAGAAAATAAAAGAAGCAAAAATAAACCCAGAGTAACTTGTCTCGAGGTTCTCCCTTAATTCCTAAAGTAATCATTCTTTTCTTTTGTCTGTGTTTCAGAATCTCCCAATACTTTATTTATATGTTATATCCTTGGTTCTAAATTACTATTTATGGGAGCATACAGATGGATTATGCTTAATTGTTCCATCATGACTGGAATGGGAACTCAGCTCCCACAATCCTCTACTGAACAAATGCTTAGGTTAATATGTGCAGCTTGACTACGGTTTGCTCATAAGTGTTTGTGGGAGTCAGTATAATAATAGGTATACTATTAAGAGTATTAAATAAATTCCTATGGCAGTACATAGGAGTGAAATTATGTCCTGCTGTTTGGGAATAGGATATATGGTGTGGTGGTAAAGTCATTGTTCTGACAGTAGTTCTGAGTGTCCTACAATTGTATTCAATCCTAATGCTAACTTCCTGGACTTTGTGCAAACCCCTCAGGTTCAATGCAAAGTCCTCCAAAAGGGTGCCCCCACTGTAGTTGTCATTCACAAGTCTCAGGGACCATCTGTATTTCCACCTCAATGCCTATAAATTTATTGGTTCTCATGACTTACTTACAGTGAATAATTTTCTAGAAGGATTCAGAGAACTAATTGAAAGTACTATGCCAAAACTTACCATTTTGTTAGGAAAGTCGCAACCCAAAAACAGCCAAACAGAAGCAGTATGTAAGACAAGTTGGGATGGAGTTGTTGGGAGGTTAAGCTAGATTTTCTGTGCCTTCCCCTTGTTGCCCTGGGCACATCAGCCTTCCAGCACATCAGTGTGTTTGGGTAGTTCCACTAAGCTTTGTTGTCCAGAGTATTTGTTGGGAGTATCAAATTACATAGGTATCCTTGATTACACAATTGCACATGTCATTGAATTCAGTCTCTAACACCTCTCTTCTCCCTGGAAGTCTGGTTGAGAGAAGTTCCAATCCTTTAATCATGTGATTGGCCCTAAAACTATCCAGGGGCTGCTCTAAGCTACCTCATTAGCATAACTAAGATACACTTGTCATTGTTCTGAGTGTTTGAAACTGTGCTAGAAACCAGGTACGTGTTTTTTACCACACTAATCACGGAAGACTTCAAGATGAATGTGGCACTTAAGTGATATATTAAATGAAGGGTAGGGAGTAAACATTTGAAGTTGGGGAAAGGAGATACTATATTCAGAAGTAGCTTTAGCATTGACACAGGAACACATACACAACAGTGCAGGCAGGTAGTTCAGTTTATGGAAATAGATATTTTTTATAACTTTAGTGTATGGATATAAAAAGCAATAAAAAGAATAAAACCACGCTGGAATTCCCATTTAACGTTGATTATTAATCATAGAATTTTTTTTTTCACAGAGCAGAGGAAAGGAAAGATCTCTTCATGTTTTTTCGAAGTCTGCACTTTTTTGTGGAGTGGTGTGAATATCGTAAGCGCACATTTCTACATTTCAAGGTACTGTCTAAATTTTTTAAATGTAAACATATATGAGAAATGAAACTGATGTCAGTTTAAGGATTTAACATACCATTCTTAAAGCTTTCAAATAATACAAAATACTTCAATAGTTTCTAGAATTTGCAGTATTTGAAGTGAGGGAGAAATTGTTCTATATAATTATTGAATCATTTATAGTATGGAGTGTTGTCAAAGAAATACAGGTATAATCTTACTTATTTTAAAGCACACATTTTGAAAAATTGATCTCTCAAAATATTGATCTACTTCAAGTAGAAAATGACAAATGCTAAGAATATAATTCATAGCAGACTTACCAGATAGCAGTTACATCTTTACTTCTGAGTCAGAGCATCTTTAGAACTTCTTGTTATATATATCAGCTCAATATTGAAAGCTGATTTTTATAAAGTAATGCTTCTTAAGATATATATACACACACACACACATATATATCTATATATGTATACATGACTGAAATTATGCTGACTATGTGGTAATTCCCCAGGTCTTACTTAGCTGAGCAGCATCAAGCTATTGGAGATACTAGAGAGCCACAAAAAAATTTGAGTTAACATAAATAATATCTAAAGGTTCAGTTTCTATTAGAAGACTATCTGGATCATGACTGTTGTTTTTGGACTCTTCTTTGTTTGCAATTTTTATTAGTTTATTATAGGCATTCTATTTGATTAAACTAATAAATTCTGTTGGGTATAGGATTTTCTTTAGAATGAAACATGATGCTAACTGTACCTCTACAGTTATTCTCATGATTGCTTTTTATTTGCAATTGCACCTGCACCAGATTAAATAGCTTTTCTTCATAATTGGTAAAATACAATGATGGCAGTGTGGCAGTTATGGTAATGAATCACCTAATATGGCCATTTCCTTATATATTTGAATGCCTTTTGGCAAATGGGAATGTTAGTCCCCATTTTCAAAAACAGTTTGCCTCTGGTTGCTTCAACACAAATGTAGAAGTACAACTTCTACATAGTTTTCTTGTCTAAGATGGATCTTTTCTATGAATTAATCTATTCTTATAATAAGGTTACTGGAATGAAAGAAACAGCCACATTATTGTTCAACCATCACCAATATTTATCTCCAGAACTTTTTCATAATGCCAAACTGAAACTATGCCCTTAAAAACTAGCTTACCTCCTTCCCCCACAGCTGCTGGAAACCACCATCCTATTTTTTGTTTCTATGAATTTGCCTACACTCTTGAATCTCATTTAAGTGGAATCATACAGTGTTCATACTTTTTTGCTTGTATAATACCCTCAAGCTTTATTCATGTTGTGGCATATAACAGAATTTCTTATCTTTTTACAACTACTTAATATTCCACTGCATGTATTTAACAAAATTTGTTCATTATCTGTTTGGCTTATTTCCACCCCTTGGTTATTATAAATGATGCTTCTGTGAACACTGGCATACAAATATTTGAGTTGCCATTTTTGTGTACCCGTAAGTGGATGTTTTGCATTGCGTGGTAATTCTATGTTTAATTTTTAAAAACCATATATTCTTATATTCTAAAGCCTAGTTTATTTATTTTTGTTGTTGTTGTCTTTGCTTTTGCTATTATAGATGAGAACTGGTTGCCAAATTCAGTAGGAATTTTATAGCTCTTTAAGTGTTTAATCCACTTTGAACTAATTTTTGTAAACATTGTGAGGTAACTTAATTGTTTTGCGTGTATATATTCCAATTTTCTCAGCACTATTGGTTGTTGAGACGGCCCTTTCTTTGTTGAATATTTTTGGCACCTAGATTGAAGCCCATTTGGCCACATATGTGAAGGTTTATTTCTGGGTTCACTATTCTCTTGGTCAATATGTCTGTCCTTATGCCATTGTTATATATCTATATATTTTTTAGTTTTATTTATTTATGTATGTAAAACTGGGGGGGTGAGAGGATCCACCACAGACAGTGGACAGCAGAACAGGCCGAATGACAAAGTACACTGCTGAGGGGAGCAGCGGGCGGGTAAGGTGAAGTCTGTTGCACCATGTGGGTCACCTCCTGGGGTGGGGATTGAACTCATGCTGAAGTGGCTTTAGTATCTTAGTGCTGTGCTTTAACCCACTGAGCCATCAGGGAGGGCCCATTGTTATATTTTTGAATAATATAGTTTTGTGTAATAAGGTTTGAAATGAGGAAGTGTAAGTCCTCTGACTTTTTTCAAGTTTGTCTTGGCTGTTTGGAGTCCTTTCATATTCCACATAAATTTTAAGGTGGACTTTTCTATAGAAACTATCTTTGGGGCTTAGATAAGGGAATTATACTTTAATTGGTAGATTATCTTGTGTAGTATTGTAATCTTAACTATACAACATTCATTCTCTTTTCATTATTATTTTATCTAAATCACTGACTTTAAAATTTTCCAAAATTTGACAGTTTTATTTTGGTGTTTTTTTCTCTTCGATTATGTAAAAATCACAGGAATGCAGTATTCTTTTGATATCTAGAAATGTAGAAGTCTCTGATCACTTTCTCCAGTGTTGGTCTCTGTAACAACTCTCCTTTATCAGTTTTATTTTTCCAGATAAAGTTATGGTTTATTCAAGGTTGTATAGTTGAAACTTCTATTTTTCTAATGAAAAAGAACCCTCTGTTTAAATGGATTTTATTTTGTACTATTTATTGTATATCCAATTCAGTACTATACTAAACACTTTGAAATTAAAAAGGGGGTAGTGAATGTGTTGGTAGTGCTCAGTGAGCTTTCAGTTACAGAGAAAGGAAATATGCACAAAAAATTATGAGAAAGCCATATAATAGCTTGGATGGTCAGTTATCAAAATAAAGTAAGCGAATGAGTTAATGGAAGTTATAGAAGTAATTATTGTGACCTTAACATCACAGATGTTTTAATGAAAAGGTTTCATCATGGGTCAACCATGACACATGGGAGGAAGTTTGAAAAACAAACAGGAACATCCTCGGGTAGGAGGAAAAAAACAGAAGCAAATGCTTAAAATTTGATTAAATACTTCTCTGGGAATAGTATACAAAGGCCAACTTGATTCTGACCAATTTGATTCCAGTTTCTTTTGGAAACAGTGTTGGTAATTTTACTAACACATTCCATTTCATGTTTCTAAAGTACTGACAGTTTTCCATGTAATCCCATAACAATGTGGAAACAGTTTTGAATGGGGCTTAAGCAAGAAGAAAGTTATTTTAGGAACTTTAATCTGGTAGTTTAAAATCACTATTAGACTGGAGATGAAATCTCACTATTGAATATGTAGTCTGTATGAAAATAGAGATGTGTATGAGTGGTTGGGAGGGTGGTGTGCAAAACACCAAAGAATTAGCTTGGTTTTTATTGAGGAACTTTTTATTCTTATACTGTAAACTGAAATTATTTTGCAGTATGTATCATATTTGAAAACTTTTCCAATAGAGAATTTTATGGCTGTTGTGTGAGAAATGGGGTGAACCTTTGATTTTTCTTGTAAGCATACTGACTTTGGTCTGCTTGACTTCCTAAAATGTTCTATAGTAGACTTAGGGTTTTAATATTTAGATGAAGGAAATTTATTACAATTTTACTGAAGCTTTTAAATGTGTGACTTTGTAGCAGAATAACTTTGAACATTACTATGTTATTTTTCCTCAATGAGTAAAATTATCAGTTATTTGGAGACTTTTATGTAAGTATGATTCTTGTCCTGTTTCTCAGGCTAAGTAAATGTAATAGCTGCCTTAATAGAAACAAAATTCCTACTCCATAATGAATAATGTATGAATCATAAGAGAAAAATGGGAGATCGCTGGAAATATTTAGCTTTTCAAAGTTTTTGGAACATCTGTCTTAGATGCTTTAGGACTCAGTAAAGGCCAGGGAAAGACAAATAGTTGAAAGTTTCTTGGACTTATCCTCTCACTTTATTAGTAATGGAAATAATGCTTCTTAAATTTGAATATTTATATAAAACATACCTAACATGACATTCCAGTATAAACTACCAGGGTTTTATAATGCTATTTAAGTATTTTCACATTATTTTGTTTGGAACTTATCGATTCAGTCATGTCAGATTTTTTAACATCCTTGCTTAAACCATAAATTGCTTCATAATGGAATACAAAGTTAATGAAGCAATATTTGTGCTCCTTTAGACATTGTTGTACAGATTATAAGTATGTATATATTTCAGTTTATATACTGCATTGAAAGTGGTTAAAAGTAGGACCCTACAGGCAATCTTTTTAAGCAGATAAAACTGTTTGGATGCTTTCCAAGGATGATGGGGTTGCCCTCCAAGCGTATCTCTTCAACCCGGTCCCGGATATAACGGGTATCATTAGCCTTGCAGAATGTATCATCTGTAATTGAAGTTATGTTGTTAAACTGGAAAATAAAAGAAGAAAGTTGTTCAGAAATCTAAAGTTAACCTTTTGTATCTATATAATGGGATCTCACAGGGTCATTTATATAAAAAGTGACTAATATGATTGACAGTATGTTTCCTTTTGGTATTAAAACTCTCTATAAATTATAATCTCAGCCTACCTCCCCCTAAAGATACAGTGTTATTTTGAAAGAATAGACTACTTGCTAATTTTCAGAATAATATCCATGTATCAGAAAAGCTCAGAGTATAAATAAAGTTATACTAATTGGAAAAATGAGTATGAGTCTCAACTCAAAATGGATGAGTCTCAACTCAAAATGGATGAGTCTCAACTCAAAATGGATGAGTATCAACTCAAAATAGATGCTATGTTCTTAAATATTCTTTACAAAAGTAAAAAGAACACTTGAAATTCTTGTGATGCTGAAAGACAAATTTTTGTTTCTTTTCATACCCTCTTCATTTTTCTATTACCTCAAGTTGATGTTGGGCAAAAAAGTTAGTGGAAAAATACTTTTCACTGCAAATGTTTATAGCTATTTGGAGAAAGAGACATAGAGCAGAGGTCTTACTGTTCCCTGATGTCAAATCCGCATGTCAGGTTAATGAGGAGCTACTCTGTGCACACTAGAGAAAACCCCAGCTCAATATCAATAATCTGGACAGGAAAGTGCATTGGGCTAGCAACGCTTTTAATCACACTACCCCAGAGATATGAATAAGTGAGTTTCCTAATAAGTCGTAAGATTGAGCCACAGGCAATTTAAAATTAGATATTGTGAAAAGAGCAGTCATACCTGAAGATGGATTATACGTAGGCTTTCTGGTAAATTAAGAGGCACAGATTCCAATTCATTGTGGTCCAAATAGAGAAAGGAGAGGTTATTCAATTTCTGTAAGAAAGAAGAACTTTAGCTTAAGTCAGTGCATTTTTTTTATAGGTTCCAGGCTATATATATACATGTATGTATAAAGATATACATATTTAGAGATTGATAAGGCTACACATCAACACTATTATCAATATAGTAGTTTTTAGTTAGTGGGGTTTCACAAATAGTATATTGTTCCTTCAAGAAGGGCAGGTAGAATTTGTTACATCCCACATTTCTGTCTTCTCCTTTGGCATTAACCCGTATGTCAACATCTAGGCTCTTTGAACTTGTCTGGAGATTGCTGAAGAGGTTAATCCCCAAACTAGATTGTATATTAGTGCCATCATAATATCTCTTGGAAATTTCCATAACTTCCTGTTTCAATACCACCAACTGCTAGAAAAATTAATTATCCTAAAATATGTATATGACTGTAAGTAAGATGTTTCCCAAAGCAATTTACTAAATACTTGGGAGTTTTTGCTAAGAGCTCTGTATTGGATTACTTTCATTATCAGTAACCCACTATTGTATGATTTTGTGATATGATTTTAAGGTGCCATTTCCCCTGACAGTAATCTTTTACCTTACTTTTGATATGTATCCTGTGGCAGTATGTGCTAATTTTGTTTTTTTTAATAATTGCTTTCCTATTATTTTAATCTTTTCTTTAGCATCTACCATATGGACGCCAAATTGTTGCTTTCCCTGTGAGTTACACACCACTGTTTCCTCTGGTGAACCCTTTACATGGGTTAGAGTAAGCTGACTATACCGGTGCCTGTGACAGTCTAGGGTATTAAACAAAACTACAAAGTGTCTGAGTTTATCATTTCCATACCAACTTGTCATGAATCCCTTCTGTGATATGTGTGTCAAGCCCAAAATAACCAAAGATTCCTTTTGTGAAATGTTGATGCTCAGGTGTTTAACATGCCAGTTATTCAAAGACCAATTTGACTTATGTATCTTCAATTAAAAGGGTTTTGTTTATTTTTAAAATAAGTCCAGTTTTAAAGTCCCCTAGGTATCCCTTAACTTTTGGTGTGTCCTAAAAATGCCCCTGAGTATTGAAAAAGAATTCCTTAAATTTAAGCAAAAACAGACTAAAATGGAAATTTTTATAGACAGATTGTTCATTTGGTTGACTATGGTAAGCTTCATAATATTTGGTAGTTTTAGTTACTTCTATCAGGCATTAATATCAGAAACTACAAACTTTCCTTCTGAATGAAATTGTTGCCAACAGCAGCAAGACAGTCTATTCAAAGTTAGGTGGGATTCCTTCTGGGAGTTCTGGGCTGAAGTGATTCTTTTTCTGTGCATTTTGAGACAACCTAAATCAGATATTACCTTTTCTTTTTCCTGTATATAGTATTTTCTTGAATTGCTAAATTAAGAAATGTATTTCATTTTTATTGTATACAGAATTTTGTATTTGTCAAATTCAAAAGGAAGTCTACTTACAGAACTTTATGTTCTCATACTTTTAAGTGTTAAAAATAGAATTCAGTGATTGCTTTTAGAATTTTATTTTTTTCTGGCATTTATACTTTACTAATGTTGTAATAACAGAGAAACAGGTAAATTCGCATCTTGAGGTTTTGTAGAGTCTTGGTGCAATGAGGGTGGCAACTAGATCAATTTGTTTTCACTTGCAATAAGTCAAAATAGTTTTAGAAGATAAAATTCATATTATCATGGTGTAAAACTGATATTGTACTCAGTCATATGATGAAATACTTACTTTGAATGTATTTCCTTTGATTCCTCTACTCTTTATTTTGTTGTGTTTTGCATTGAATAAAATAAGCTTAGGGGGAAGAGTTGGAAGTTTCAAGAGCTGATTTTCAGCAAGCGTCAGTTCTTCTAACAAAGACAGTTGTGAAAAAGTGCTCTCTTCTATATCTTCAATCAAATTTCCCGTAAAATCAATTCTTCTTAAGTTAGCTTGAAGAAACAATATGCAATGAAACATGAAGTTAAATTCTCTTATGTGTGGACTAGAGAAAAACATTTGGTCAACAGGTCTTTCAAGCATCTTTAATTTTTAGTTCCTAGTGCACATTTAACAACTAGGGAATGAATCCTAAACATTTACTCTGTTCTTGGGACTGATAGCCCTTGTACTTGGACCTATTTTGGAACTCCAGGTTTGGAAGAGAATTTAGAGTTAATAGAGTATTTCCATCCTTGTCTGTTTGAACTCCAGAATGCTCAGGCAGTTTGAAAGAAATTCCTATTGTAAATCTTGGAAAGTAAGTATTACATTTGACTGAATAGAAGCATATTTAAAATTAACTTACGTATGTCTGCAAAATCTTTGGCAGTCAGCTTTTTAATTTTGTTGAATCGTGCATAAAGATAGGCTGATTCCTTTGGCAAGGGGGGCACACTATCAATATCAATCTCTTCACAGTATACAGAGCCACTTAAACAAACACACAGCAGGCACGTGGGCATTTCTAAAATGAGAAACAAAGTCATAGAAGTTTTAGCATATTTGGGCCTCTGGTGAAATTATTGCTATTGTGTTATTATAATTTGAGAAGATTTTTTACTAAATTGTAATCAGAAAGATATCACAGGCCTGATAGCTAATGACCTATATGGTACCTGCTAATTCACCAGAATTTTATTTTTTATTCTCTATCCTTTGAACAGTAATCCCTTAATTGCTGACTTGATTGACAATACATTTCCTCATTTGTTCCTGATGATATTGCCTTTAGTCAGATTGATTCCTGCAGAGATACTGTGCTGCTTACTCTATCAAGTTACTTCTTTTCACTTCGTAATAAATAAGTACCTCCCATAGAAGTAACTACTTTGAGGCTCCAAATATCTTATTTTGCATCACATGTCAGCTCTTTAGTTTTAGCACCTATTGATGATTCTTATCTGAATCTTTATCACTAGTACAGTTACCAAAAGTGAGTTTCTAATTCCATTACTCCTATATTTGTTAGTTGGAATTCTGTTGTAGGTGAACATTCTTGTCTTTTTTCTATTAGTTGGAGTTAAAAATTCTTTATTCTATGAGTTATAATACCTAACTGTCGTTATATTTTGATAATCTCATTTTTGCACGTTATCCAATGAGAACACTTTTAAGCTCTTTTTTTTCTTGCCAGGCAATGCAATAAATAACATACAATAAAATTTATTTAACTTACGTAATTTGTAAATTTTGATGCATATATCTACCATGAAGCCACCACCATCAAGAGATCTATCACACAAAAAGTTTGCCCTTTGCCAATCCCTCCCTCCTGCTCTTAGCCCCAAGTAACCATGAATATGCTTGCTATCATCATATATTAGTTTGCATTTTCATGAATTTTACATTAAACTAATCATGCACTGTATGTTTTTACATGGCTTCTTTCACTATATAATTATTTTGAGATTCATTAATAGTGCATTCCTTTTTTATTACATGGTAATATTTCATTGTGTCTGTAAATACAGTTCACGATCACATCTTGGGCATTTGGGTTGGTTCCAGGTTTTGGCTATTTCAGAGGAAACTGTTGTGAACATTAATGTATAAATTTGTGTGAACTAGTCGCTTTCATTTCTCTTGGGTAAATACTTTTGAGTAGAATGATTGGGTTTTACATGTGTATCTTTTACCTTTTCGAAGAAAGTTCCACTGTTTTCCAAAGTGTTTTTGCCACTTTGCTTTCCCATCAGCAACACATAAGAATTCCAGTTCCTTCACAGCCTAAAAACATTTAGTGTGGTCCAACTTTGTCATTTTAGTCATTCAGATAAAATGTGTTGTGGAGACCCTGTGTTTTAGTTTGTATTTTTTTAAGAGAAATGACGCAGAGCACCTTTGTGTGTGTGTGTGTGTGTGTGTGTATTTGTAAGTCTGTATCTACACACTGTTATCCCCATATTGGTGAAGTTACTGTGTCTACACACTCATCCACATATTTTTTGGTGAAGTTACTATTCATATCTTTTGCCTGTTATTAAATGTGTCTTTTTAATATTATTATTAATGAATTACAAATTATATATTGCAGATGTAGATGTTTTGCACATGTTTTCCTCCAGTCGGTTACTTGTCTGTTTTCTTATCAGTGTCTTTAAAGAGCAAACATTTTTAACTTTAATGAAAAACAACTGGTTTCTTTTATAGGTCATGCTTTTTATGTTGTAGTTAAGGCATTTTTGTCAATCACCAAGTTTTTGTACTTTGTCTTAGAATTCATATAGCTTAAGGTATTTATATTTAGGTATGGGGTTCATTTTGGGTTCATTTTGGGTTCATTTTTATATTAATGTAAAAAGGGTCAAAGTTCATTTTTTCCCTTTCATATTTGTTTTTTTCAGCACTGTTTTTAAAAAAGATTATCCTTTCCCCATCAAATTGCATTGGCACCATTAGGGGAAAAAAAAACAAAACTGAAAGAGTTGACCATGTTGTGTAAGTCTGCTTCTGGACTCTGTTTTGTTCCATTGATCTATTTGTTTATTTTTATGCCAGTACCACAATATATTGACTGTTGTGGTCTCATAAGACATCTTAGCATTAAGTAGTATAAATCCTGAAACTTGTCTTCTTCCTCAGTGTTGTTCTGGCTCTACTGTGTTCTGAGCATTTCCATATAAATATTATAATCAACTTGTAAATTTCACACACTAAAAAGAGCCTATAATGACTTATTTGGAATTGCATTGAATCTACAGATAATTTGGGGGAAAGTTGACATCTTAGTGATATTCAGTTTTCTGTTTTCTTGAGCATGGTGTATGTCTGCATATGTCTAGTCTTCAACTTCTCTCAGCATTGCTTGTCTAGATTGTAATGCATAGGTCTTGTGCCTTTTAAAATTGTTTGCAAATTTATACCTATTTTTTATATTTTGATTAATTAAAAATTTGAAATTCTTTAAGAGCCTCCCTATTTTCTGGTATGGCAAGATGCTCAGACCAATCATGCCTTTTCCCTGACCCAGATATTTTTCCAGTGAGCACTGTTTTTATATATAGATATGTATGTATACATAATGGTTTATTTTTACAACATCTTGTGTATTTTTCTATCTCAGTTGTAATCCCTGTGGACTTCCCATCACCAAATCACCTGTGTGCTATCACCATAGGAGCACTATTCCTTTTTAATGGAAAAGGGTGTTTAGAAATTAAGGTTTCTGTGTGGGTGCTATGTGGTCTTATTGTTGCTAGGCTCCATCAACAGAGAGAACTAGGAAATACATGGCAGTGTATGACTTGTGTCCTGTCCAATCCCTATATATTCACATACGTAGACAAATGTATGGCACACTTTGTGCATATTACAAATGCACACTAGCATAAAGAGACAGAACATGTCTATATCTGTTTCTGTGTACAAATCAGACTTGGTACAGATAACCTGCATTGCCTTCGTCCTGTCTGTATTTGGAATGGCCCTTCTAGTGGTGAGAAAACTGGCTCTCACTAGCCCCCATGTACCTACTCTGCCCTATTCAGTCCTAGAAAACTCTTTACGTAGTTTTATTATTGCTAGCCGCTAATGTTGTAGAAAACAATCCTATTGGAATTTTAGTAGTTGTCTGTTTAGTCTTTAGCCTAAAAGTAAATAGTCAGAAAAGCTGTTTTAAGGTTACTTGGATCTTATTCTTTCACTGTATAAATAGGGAAAATGTGTTTTTGTTGTTCACTTGAAGTACAATTAAGTTTATGTTTCTCTACTTGTTTCCACTTTGGAATCTTATACTTATGGATTTTATTTATAAATTTGTTTGCCTATATGAAACATAATCTTTTCTAAAATAAAATCTAAACAAAAAATGTATGTTCATATAGGCAGCATTTCTGTGTTTACTGGTTCTCTCTGTTGAAAGAGCCTAGTAGCAATGAGACCCCAGATCCCACTTCCCCTTTTCAACACCTGTTTCTATTGTAACCTGTAAGTCATAGTCTCAGTTTTTTTATTATGTTTCATGATTTCTTTCACACAAATGAACTGCTGATATATATTTTAAGCATTCCTTTTATTATAGATAAAAGGAAGCATACTGTTGATACTCTTTGCACTTTGTTTTTTTCACATAATATACTCTGGGGAGTCACTGTATGTTGGTTCATGTTTACATACATTGGTTCCATGTTAGTTCCTTGTTCATTTTAACAGCTGCATAGTCTTCCCTTTTGTGGATATACCATTATTTATTCATCTACTCTTCAACATGTGGCTAATTAGATTGTTCCCATTATTTTATAATTGGAAGCAGTGCTTCAATGATGTTGCATATCTATTTTCTTACTTTTCAAGGTGTGTTTTAGTGTTCCTAGAAGTTAATGACTTTGCTACAAAATAAATGCATGTTTGATTCTTTTAGATAATGTGAAATTCTGTTAAAATTCTGTTAAAAAAACTTGTCATTTTACATTCCCACCAGCAATGTGTGAGTGTCTGATTCAACCTTGAAATATATTAATATATTGCAACATTTGTAATTTTTGGATATCAAGTGAGTTTAAAAATGGTATCTCAGTATGATTTTAATTTACATTTTCCAGTGTGCTATTGAACATCTTATGAATTGTCTTTTCATATCTTTGCCTGTTTTTTAATGAATTTTTGGTCAGTTTCTTTCTTCCTAAATTTTTACATGTTTCTTTGTGAACTGGAAATACTAACTTTTTATCAGTGATACATGTTGAAATACTTTTCTCAGTTTTCACTTGCTTTAAAATTTTTGGCCATGCAAACGTTCCTATTGTATAGTCAAATTTACTCACTTTTGTCTATTGTTATCTCTGGATTTTGAGGCAACCCACACACCTATGTTGTCTTCTAGCATCTGTATGGTTTCACTTTTACATTTATATTCTGATCTATTTGGAGTTTACTTATCCATGGAAGGTATGAATATATTGTATCCTTTTGTCACTTGATTACCCAGTTTCAGCATCACTTTAAAAACATCATCTTTGCTTCAGTGATTTAAGATGCTGCCTCTATTATATATGAAATTTCAACATAAATTTCTTTCTGTTTCTGAACTTTGAAATCTATTTATGTTCCACTTTCCCATATTCATAAAAGTATAGCAGTTTTACGGAATGTCCTAATATGTGATACATCTGATTCCCAAAGATGTCATTTTTTTCACTGTTTCTCTGGCTGCTCTTTCATAATTGTTTTTCCATATGAACTTCAGAATCAACTTTACCAGTTCTTTAAAGAAGTTAGTTGCTAGGGAAAACTGACATTTGTGATATTGGATTACTCTATCCAAGAGCAAGACTGTCTTTTCATTTGTTCAAATCTATTTTTACTGTTATGCCTTTCAGATTTCTTGAGATGCATTTCCTATTTTAATTTTATTATAGTAAGACAGAAATTAACATATTTTTTATGTCATACAAAATAATGTTCTATGATAGGGTTTAAATAAATCAAATAAGAACTATTAAGCACATACTTTGTAGAGACTAAACTTGGAGTATGTTTTGGTTTACCTTGAATGTTTGTGTTGCACATTTCTCACTCATAAAGTGGGATAGCAAATTTCCAGAATATCGTTTTGATTTTATCTCTGGAGAAAAAATTCTATTATTTGAAGTGACTGTATCCTGGGGCAGTTTTTGATTACTTAAGAAATAAAATTCCATTGTAAGCTATTTATTTTTTTTCATGGTATTCATTTTTGTGCAATAATTCAATAAATCCCTATAAAATTCCCACCAGCTCATCACCTGTGAACCATCACCATAGTCACGTGATAAGCTATCCTTTTTTTTTTTTTTTTTACATTTGGAAGTAACCTCATTTATTTAAAAAAAAAAAAAAAAGCAAATGACCCATGTGACCAAAAGTGAAATTGAAATCTGTATTTGTACATTAAATAGTTCCAACATCTAGAAATGACTACATCTAGGAAAATATGAATAGGGAACTAGATAAGCTATCTTTTAAAAGCTCTTTTTTTAAAAAAGTTAGGCAATTTATTCTTACCATCATTTTCTTTCTTGGGTGGTAATGGTGTACTACTTTCATCTTTTTGTAGTTGAAGACTTTTCTCATGAGGTATTATCATACTTTCTTTTTCCTTTTGGAAAAATAAAAAATGTGTTATATGTTGTGAAAAACATTATTTTGATCGTAAAACTAAGGAATCTTGGATATTTATCTTCTCATAGTCATAGCAGCATTTTCTTTGTGCTCCATTAGGATTTTATATATAATTCTATTTTATCATTCATTAAATTCTAATGTAAATATTGATTTTAAATGTATTCGCTCCAGATTGTGAGCTCCATTAATAAAAGAACTGTATCTTATTATTATTATTATTCACAAACCAAAGTCAGTGATTAGTGAATGTTAAAAGCTATTGAAATTCCAAATAAAAACCAAGAGAGAATTCTCTGATTTGGAATCAAAGTTTTTCTGAGATGAAACCTGAATGAAGATACCCTCTTGAGAGCATCTTTATGTAGTGTAGCTCTTTTATTTCTTCCTTTTGATTCTTGTCTGAACTAAGTTCCTGATATCAAAGTCTTCCATGTTGAACTGGACTAAAGCCCTAGGCATATCAGGAGTAAGGTACTAAAGAAACTCTTTCCACCTCTTGTGGAAGCCACCCATTTACTTACCTTCGTGCCTCCATCAAGCCATGGCTGGTGGAGCTCTTCTATCCCACCCTACCTAGCCACTGCAAACCACCTTTCTGTGCGCTGTTAGCTCTGGGAGGACTGAGTCTTTATTATTTGTGCTGTTTGCTGTTCTGGAAGAATTCATTTTCAGCTACTGGACTATTACATATATTGTGAGCTCTTTTGGAAGCATATTCCACTTTAATTTTTTTTCTATTGAGCACTCTGCATTAACACTTTAGTACATTAACACAATGTGTTAAGTACATTGAATTCTACTCCACTTTTCTCACATCTGAGTCCCTACTTTTATATGGAGATAGAAACACTTCTACAGCAGCACAAAGAGTGAAAGGTATTCCTTTTTAGAAACTTATACTTTTCAGGGGGTTAGAGCTCTTTTGAAATGATTGAAATTAAAATCAACCACTTGAGTCAATAACTAATTATGACAGGTCTCTGTTGTTAAAGCTATGGATATACCTTTTTGTGTTAATGTCAGGCAAAATTAATACTAAAATATTAACATTTTTCGTTGTATACTAAAAGAAAAGAAATAATTATATGTATTTGAAATCCTTGCCATCCTAATTATAGTGGAGAACTTTTAACATGACAAACATGGTTATATATTTGGCTGCATTTTTCTTAGTGTGACAGTAGGCAAGCACCAGATATTTATGTGCTGCATTAACTTTTTCCTTTACCCAGCATTCATTTCTGTGTGCCAAGAAAACCACAAGTGATTACTTAGCCCATAGGAATGAAGTGAGAAAGATGTGTTGTGAAAGCTATGCCTGTAGAGGGTTAGCTCAAGAACAGTTACTTGGTGCACAATGGTAGAATGTAAATTGTTGAAACTGATTTAAAAAGAAAGCCCATGTTAAGTAGTTTTTCATTTGTTATACTGTGTGTATATAGTTGGCATATGTAAACTATTGTGAAATGCTAAAATGAATACCAAAATAGTCACATCTATATATTTCCTTGAACCACTTTTTCTTAAAAAAATAAACCTTATACTGGCAATCCATCTTTATTTTTCCTTAGAGACACTGCTGCTGTTTTAATTTTGAGGCAATGTAATATACAAATATAAAGTGTTATATAATGTTACTTACCATATAAATCTCAACTGCTCAGGAATCATCTTAAAGGTGAGTTTTTCTTAATTTGGGAGGGGGGTTACTATAGATACTGCTTAGTTACCATAGATACTGTTCATTGATTTGGAAGCATACATATTTAAAAAATATAAGCTTAGGGGTAATTACAATAAATTGCTTTGAATCACTTAAAATGTTTGTTTTTGTTACTTTGCCTTCTCAGACACATCCAGAAATAAGCAAAAAACATGCATTTAAGTGGGGAACTATTTTAGAAGTAAAAATTAGAATAGAAATAAAGTACCTTAATATTTTTTCCATCCAGGTATTTATCCTCATCATCGTGGCTAAACAAGTTTTCTTCAAAATTATCTGTTCCATAATCATAGATAACTCGTGAGTCCTTTTGAGCTGGTGGTGCTGGCATTACCAGAGGCACAAATAATAACAAGAGAAATGTAGACTGCAGCGTCTTCATTTTAGCAAGGTGACTGGACATTAATAAGCTAGTGGCCTGCTGACTGCGAGACAATACTCTCTTTTTCCTTGGAAATAAAAACACAGACCATCGAAGCAATATTTAAAAGCTTAGAGAGGACTTTTTGGCAGGGTGTATGCAGTAAAGGCCAGAGAACAAGTATTTAACCCTTAGTGATCTTTAATTAGATACTGAAAGTTTTTATGTAGCAGTGATATTTCAAAAAAAAGTTTCAGAAAGTGATTTCTTTTTTTATCAAAAGTTCAAGCAATATTAATAATGTAAGCTCATTAATAATTAAGTATGTTGAATAAAGGTACTCTATACAGTTGAAATCTTAAGATACCTGTAGTACAAATGGTTAAAATGAAGACCCAAGATCGTGTCTCATGTGAGTTAAAAATATCATGTTCTACTTAGCTACTTTATAAGATCACTTGATTTGTATTAGATTAACAGAAACAAGTTTCAAGAAAAGCTTTTAAATTTTAAATCTAACAGTATGAATAGTAATCATTAACACTTAATTTTAAGTGGTATAGAATATGGGAAAACCATACTTAAAGTTTTAGTTTTGTCATTTTCATTGGTATCATTATTTTTAATTAATAAATTGCTTTTAAAATTTAAATTATAAAAAACTTAAAAATAGTATTTTAGATAAGAATAAAATATAGAACTTTAATCAAGGAGTAAGAAGATGTTAAGGGAAAGATTCCTTTAGGCTCACCAATAGACTTTATCTGGTGGTGCACATTCCAGATTTTTTTCTTGAGTAACTTCAAGCAGAATCCTTCAGAGTTGCTGATGTTGCACTGTAGATGCCAGTTTGTCAAGAATCAGTGGCTGAAAATTAAGAATCATATGGTTCTGAGACTTGTGCAGCACCCTGCTCTTGCCTGCATGGATATTAAAGTTATAAAATGACATACAGAAGTGCTTGTTAAAAAATAATTGTTCAAGGTAACTGAATCTTCAAAAATGAGAGGTGGCGTTAACATTTATTAAGGCTGCTCAAGATGAGTCACATCTTAACAAACAACATTTAAAATAATATGTGAGAAAAGAGCCTACCGTTGCAGCTGTACCGTTTTTGTGGTTTTCCTCAATAGACGCTCATGTCTGTGCATTTGCCCCCAATGGGAGGGTGAATGAGGAAAGCCGTGGATCAATTTCAAACTGCTGAGTAGAATTTCAGGGCCCAGCAGCTTTAAAAGCAGTTTCCATGTGGTAGGAATCTTTGCCAACATTCTTTCTCAAGGGTGAAACGTGGTGCCTTGTACTAGAGCACTGTGCTTAAGTATTTGTAACTGCTGTGCTCAACCTGCCTCCGCTAATTACCATAGCGTGTGTTATTTTTACCTTGTGTAATAGATACTAATGCTTTAGTGAAAATTTGTGAAGATGACATAGTTATAGAATCATGCTTTTCAGTTTAATGCTTTCCCAAGAGATGAAACATCTGCTTTGTAAATGAAACGAAACACCAAATCCAAAGCATAGTCTATGCTTTTAGTTTTATGAAGAGTAAAAATATTGTTCTAGAACTATAATTAGTATCGAGTCAAGAAATATCCAGTGGAAAAATTAGTCTTAACACAGATTATTTTATATTCCAGTCATTTGCTGCTCCCTCAGTTTAGTTGTATATTACAGTGGCCCTAGCTATCACAACAGCTTTTTAAAAGTAAATTTGGGCCTTCCCTGGTGGCGCAGTGGGTTAAAGTACAGCACTAAGAAGCTAAAGCCACTTCTGCATGAGTTCGATCCCCGCCTGCCCCGGAGGTGACCATATGGCGTGGTAGACCTCTCCTGACCCGCCCGCTGCTCCCCTCAGCAGTGTACTTCGTTGATCTGCCTGTTCTGCTCCCCACTCTGTCTCTGGTGAAGCCTCTTGCCACTCCTGAACCTCTGGCCTGTACCCCGGTTCTGTATGAACAAATAAAATAAATCTTTAAAAATAAAATAAAAAAAAAAGTAAATTTGATTTGTAATGTAGGTTTAATAGTAAGTGATATCTTTGTTTGCTAAATGAAGAGAACTGTATGAAGCTATTCTAATATTAAATTTGATTGTTAGGAATTGAAATAATATTTATAACTGAGCATCACTAAAGATTCACTTATTTTAAAATCACTGATTACTGCTTTTAGCAATCATGGTGGTATTTTTTTCTCTAAGATAAAAATTTAAAAACTAAAGGATAAATATTTCACTAAAAATAGAACAGAAAATGAAAGAATACCATTTTTTTACCCAAAATTGTGTATAAAGCATTTCAAATTAAAACTTAGACCAAGTCTTGAAAACTCATGTTTTATTTGGAAATGGAATAAATTTGGTTGTGATATTCTCTAGTTTTCGTTGATATAAATGATCAATTTTAAAGCTTTAAAAGTTTTTGAAAATGTCAAATAATGAAACTGAAGATGTTGATTTGTTTTGCATTGTAAAGGTTTGGCAAGATTGTGAGAAGTGAACTGGGTAGGTATTAAATGACCAGATTTAGAGACTCTTAAAAGATTCACAATTTCATAATTTGTACTTCAGAAAATCATTTTGAGAATTATAGCTTTCATTGCAAAGTTATAACCAATGACTACAATCTGATTTAATAAATGTATTGAGCACCAGTTCTCTGCCAGAACTATAGACAATTAGCTTAGCAAGCAAACATATTTCCCTTTCAGTGAATTTATGGCCATTTCTAGGTAAGAAGGAAGGACACTTTCAGTGAATTTATGGCCATTCCTAGGTAAGAAGGAAGGACACTTTCAGTGAATTTATGGCCATTCCTAGGTAAGAAGGAAGGACAGCAAACAGAAAACATGGTGAGCCCTGCTGCCCAGTAATGCTCAGTGTTCTGTTGGGGCCTGGAAAGGCCACTGAGGCAGCACCCAGCTGACTTCTGCAGAGATGACGAGGAAGAAAGTGGGGGGACAGGGTGCTCCAGGAGATGTTCTGGGAAGGGGAGTAGCACACAGATGGCATAGGGTGGATGATAAAGAAAATTTGTATTTTGTTGGATATGACTGGAGGTAGGCAGGAGAGAGAGAGGTGAAAGATGGCCCAGTTAAGGAGAGTCCTGTATGTCTTGCTAAAGTATTTGAACTTTATTCTGTGGCTAGTGAGAGACCACAGAGATTTTTAAGCTAGTGAATGTCATGGCCTATTTTTATTTTAGAAATAATCCTCTAATGTTACATTTCTAAAGAATACCACTACTGTATTGGCTATTTATGACAAGTTTAGTGGCTTAAAGTAACATACATTTATCTCACATTTTTTTGAGTCAAGAGACTGGGCAAGACTTTGCTTGGTTCTCTATTTCAAGCTCTCATCTGAAATTTGCAGTCAGTGTTACTTCAAAGGTAAACAGGATAAAGGATGCAATTGTGGACCGCTGTGCACTGCAGCATGTGGGCCTAAAGGCCTCTGCTTTAGTTGGATGTTGGCCGAAGGCCACCCTCAGTTCCCGCAACATGGCCTCCACGATAGAGCAGCTCACAGCATGGCAGCTAGCTTCCTCATAGCCAGAGGGAGAGAATCTTTAGAGGATAGGAGTATAGTTTCATGCAGTACTTACTACAGTCACACAAAACCTTTGTCATGTCTCGCTAGTGCAAAGAAAGAAGTCATGCCCACACAGAAGAGGAGGTAACTGCCAAAGGTAAAATTCTGGGAACATTTCAGAATTACACTGGGAAAAAAGCCCTATGTTTCCCAAACTTTAAAATTGGAGAGTATATTCCCAAGGTTATCATCACTTCTGACAGCAGCTGCAATTTTGGGGGTCTTCCCAAAGCTACTCTCACATTTGATTATTTGTTGGAAGGATCCTAGAACTCCGTGAAAGCAATTAAACTTGTGGCTATGGTTTATCACAGGAAAAAAAAACACATAAGAAGCAGCCAAGAAAGAGGTGCATTGATCAGCATCTGGGAGGCATCTAAATTCAGGACTTCCATTGTTCTCAAGAAGAATTACCCTCCCAGCCTATGTGTGGCAACTGTGGATGCACTAGCAAGACCACTGTTGAGAGTTTTTGTTTCATTACATGGACATGATCAATTGATTAAGTGCCCGTGTGATTGAACTCAGCCTCCAGGTTAATTTAGCATGAGCCAAAGCTCCTATCCTAAATCACATCGTTGGCTATCTGGCAAGGCCAAAATGCACCCCTAAAACTATCAGGTATGACTAGTCCCACCCTTGGCTTCACTGTATGGTAATAACAGATGAAAACTGTTCTGTGCTCAAGTGCAGATATTGTATCCAAAAGTGAGAGCATGTTCTCTGTGAAATCCTTTATCATGATCTTGTTGCATTATTCTTAGTTTTTGTATAGTTTCATAACTTTGAATGTGTCCCCATTGGGCTAATGGTTCAACCTCCAAATTGTTTCTCAGCAGCAAACAATTTGAATGGAAAAGAGTATAGGAAACAAAGATTTTTCTAGGAGGGAGTATTTTTCAGAGGTGGCTTAGGTCTACTGATAAAACTGCTACCTAGATTGGCTTTCAAAAAATGCTAACAGCTGGAAGAATCTGTCTTCCTCCACTAACAATAGGTAATAATGTGATTTAGGAGTCAGAACATCAACTGCTAGCTTTCTTATGGCATTAACCTTCTCTGATCTTGTGATGTTGTCTTTGGGCCTCAGTTCCTTTGTCCATTGGTTTCTTTATGCATTAGATTAGAACTGGATTACCGCATAGTTTTTCTTCCTTGGAACAACTAAAATTTTGGAGTTGTTAATTCTTTGTGGGAGGCCAACCTGTGCACTATAGGACAATTAACAACTGCCCAGATACCAGTATCCCTCCTCCATCTTCTTACACTCCCTCAGTTGTGGCAACCAAAATTATCTGAATACATGGCCAAATGTTCCTAAATATCAAAGTTAAGTCCCATTGAGAATCACTGTGATATTAAATATAGACCTTTTGAAATTCAATTTTCTATGATTTAGTGAAATGTCTATGATTGTGAATCTCCATCTCAAATTTTATACTTTTTCTTGAAATCCAGTCTTTTGATCAAATGAGAGAAAGATGAGACTCCAATTACTTCTCAGACTAGAGGGTGATACAGAAATGGAGGGGGATTATGACTCATTAGAAGGAAAGGTAGGTTCATGCTTAAAATGTCCTGGATTTGTGAGTTTAATTTTTCCATATGGTGAATTTGCACCTAATAAATTTGTAAAGTAATGAGAAGTGCATGGTACTATATTTATGTTGTGGTATTTACCAGGAAATTGGAACATAATATAAATTTCGGGGTTTTAGCTGTTGTAATTTGATTTTGTATCCAACTGCTATTAAACTTTATTCCCAAGATCCTGAAAAATAGGGTTTGGACTCAGGAAATCACGGTTTTAGTTTCTTGGGGGCATATGAATTATTTGCAACAAAGAAAGTATATGGAAGAGACAAGGTTTATTTCTTCTACTTTTCCTCCATGGAGTTGGTGTTATATGATACGCTTACATCTGCATTTTAGTTTAGTGTGATTCCAAACTTGAGCAATAAAGTAAAAATGTATTTCAGGTACTATATTTAAACACAAGCTAAATATGCTCACTAGAATTACTACGAGCAAGTAATTGAAATATCCTTCATTTTTATTTCCTTTCTGAGAACTAAATGCACATTAACCTTTTATGTTTAACTAAGCTTGTGGCTGATGGTGTAATTTGTATTTATTGGTTGTCACAGTTTAGCCTCATAGCAAATTAACTAACACTTTGTGTAATGAGAAAATGGATAACTTTTCTTATTTTTCTTTCTTGTTATAAATATCAAATTAATTGGTTTTATCTATAATTCTAATAGATAACTGCTATCTTGATATACTAGTTGAAGAAATATTTTTTTCTTCAATTTGTCCTAGAGGATATTTTTTATTATGAATGAGAAATACTTTTTGTTATGAATGAGAAATACTTGGGATGAGTATGAGTTACTCAGGGCATTTTCAAGCAACAGATTGCTGTTAACCTTCTTCTTCATTGGGCTCTATAGCTGTAGGATGTGTTTGTGTGTGTGTGTGTTTGTGATCCTTGTGAGGGAGTAGAGGAAACCCTGCCTTCTCTGGTAGGTTATCCAGGGGTACTTTGGAAAGTTAAGCCATCAAACTAACTTGGAAATCTATTTGGTTGGATGCATAGGATTTAAACACCTACCTCCCCACTAGTGAAACTTTCAATAAAATCTGCCTTGTTCAATCATCTTTTATATGAATAGCATCTTGGAAAGAACCGAAGAAGATGGCTTGTTCCATCCTTGGGAGCACCAAGAGAGAATGGTAGTGTGTGAGTCTTTGTTTCACACTTGTACAGCTATCATTTCAACCAGTTTAAAGTATTTTCATCCCCCCAGAAAGATAATGCTGTACCTATTAGCAGTCATTCCCCCTTTTCCTCTAGTCTCTTGACGCCAGCCCTAGGCAGTCAGTAATTTTTTTTTTTTGTCTTTGTCAATTTTCCCGTTCTACACATTTCATGGAAATAGATTTGTACAATATATGGTCTTCTGTGACTGCCTTTTTATTAGCATATTTTCATGCTTCATGTTGTGGTATGTATCAGATATATCACTACCTCTTTCTGACTAACATTTCATTGTGTGGATATATCATTTTTTGTTTATCCATTCATCCGTTGATGAACATTTGGGTACTATCTTTTTTTGGCTAATACTGGATAATGCCACTATGAACATTTAAGTACTTGTTTTTATGTGAACATATGTGTTCAGTACTCTTGGTACATATCTAGAGGTGGATTTGTTGGGTGACAGGTAACTTTTTGAAGAACTGGCAGGCATCCAAACCACTGACAGCCCCACCAGCTGTGTTTGAGGACCCCACTTTTCCACTAACAGGGCTCCACTTTGTGTTCACTGTCTGTATTAGTCTGTCTGCTTGATTCTCAGCTATCTGAGTGTGAAAGGGTATATCATTATGATTTTGATTTGTTTTCTATCATGATTTCTCCTTAAGTTTTAAATTATTCTAGGTAAGAAGTAGTCTTGTTTTTCTTATCTCCTAAAACAGCCAGTGTTTTTCACTTATTAGCTCATATTAAATGTTTAGATTTATAGCCAGCTTTTAAATTTTCAAAAAACAGAGATGGTCCTGAAAATTTTTTCTTTATCTTGAAAGTGTGCTCTGCCCTTGCTGCTAGCATTTTCCTTCTACCTGGACTTGTATCTTACGGTGTCACAGGTGCACATGTACCACATGGACTGTTTCTTGACCTATCATTGCTAACCCTTGTACACCAAATGATTTGATGAAGTTAATTAAATGAATGAATGGGGGCTTGTTTATGTTCATTCTGGATTATTGTGGGTGTCCTGGGAACAGGTGAATGTTGTTTCTTCTGAGTGCTAGTAATCCACCTAGGGATAATAAAGAGCATAAAGTCTTCATATTAGACTTGTCTCTAAAAAAAAAAAAAATAAAGACTTATCACTTGAACACTGTTCTAAAAATGAGGTTCTACATGCTTGGTCTTTGCATATTGTCCAAATTGTTACTGTTTGTCCTTTGGATTCCTTGTATTGGCAGCCCAAGATTAATATTTATCCCTTAGCTAGGGAATTCTACATAATGTTAGCCTGTAGATCAAGAAAATGTATCATAGCAGTTAAATCACTTTCATTATAAGTCATAACATAAAATACTTCAAAATGATAGATTAAATAAAGGCTTTGTTGCAGTTTTAAGAATATATCAAAGACTGTCCAAATTTTATCAATATATAAATATTGGTGATAATGTACATGTTTCTAATATACTGTGCTAGGAAAATAATGTTTAATAGTGTTAATATAATTTCCTTTGCTAACATTAGATTATCATTGTGAAATAAGCAGTTACCTGTTAGCAAATCTTTGTGTAACTACAACAAAGACACCTTTGTTTATCCCTGTTAAAATGGAATACGTTAAAGACTTTTGGATGAGCTGAAATAACAGACTGTGATGACATAATTTGGTGTCTTTCAGTTTTCCAAATAAGGATTTCATATTTTGTTGGTTTGGTGTGCTGAGGAGAAAATAAGTCCAGTTAATTTTATGAGTCTGTATGCCTGGCATCCTTAGTAGAATAGCCTCATTTGAAAATAAAAAACAGCCTGTGTTCTAGTGTTAGGGCAAGGGGGTAAATGTCATGATAATGAGATCTAAAATGTAAGTTTGAAGGCTTTTTGGAAATTAAGTCAGAGAAAGCAATCTACTACTTAAATGGATGGCTGTCAGTCTTATTAACTTCTTGGTATTCAAGCATCATTATGGTGATTCTAAGCATATGGCTTCTATTCCTTAGCTTTTAAATCTACGTCTTTCATAATTCTTAGAAAAATTACTTTAATAGAAATGTACTTTTTTCTCAACTTAATTTTGTGTATAATTTAGTTGAGTTCCACTTGTCATTCTAATTCAAATTTCTGAAGATTTGCTTCACTTAGAGTAAGTTCTAATCCTGTGTAATGATGCAAATGTTGCCAACAACTTTAATCTAATCTGAATTTTTACTAATATATTAATCTACATATAGTAATTGAGCTTACATGTTTAGTTAAATTAATACTGAATAATATGATTTTGTGATGCTAGACCATATACCTATATAGTCTCTTGCCATTCTTGACTTCCATAATAGTGAGGGTCAGTGTTTTCTCCTGTTCCTTCTTGTTCTGGGTCTTCATGAACATCATCATGATCTTCACTATCAGCATCATCTTGAAATCTCCCAAAAACTTGGGTCTTCAGTTGTACTGTTTGACCATTAGTGCTTCTTTGTTCACCATAATAAATAGTATGTATGTGAGGGAAGCAGAAGAAAATGTATGAGCTTATTGGTTCTTTTAGCTTATTTTGGTCTACACGAATATATGTTAAATGATGGTAATGTAGTGGGTCAACAGATGGACACATCACTGTAACATTGATATCTGAAAAATACAAATAAAAATTAATCCTGACACATTACATCCATAATCCTATTTTGGGTATAGTTTTATTGGAATACTTATAAATAGACTAGGTTTAATTTTTTCTTATTTAACCAAATACTAAAATGAAGAAAGTGAAAATAAAAGTGAATTTTATGTTATCAGAACAATGATGGTTTCATTAGCTATTTCAGTAATAAATAAATTCTTAGTAACAATCTCAAAAAATGGAAAATCACCCTAAGTCCCATTCTGCAGGATACTTACACTTCATTTACTCTACTGTTTCTCAGTGTTCAAGGTATTAAAATTTAACAGAAAGATTACATTTTATAGCACACATTTCACTGGGCCCAATGTCTGCCATTTCCCTTGTCCTACTTCAAAGCAGTTGTTTTTAGAAATGTGTAAAGCATAGATTTTTAAAGAGTTTTTTTTTTTTCTTTAAAGGTCAAAACACTTTAAAAAATAGAATATTACATACGTTCAATTTCGTTGTTTTCTAGGTACAGATGTTCTAAATTTCTTGGGATGTAGAATGCCTGCTTCAGTTTGTTGTGTCCAACATTAAGTTCTATCAAGTTGGAGAGATTAAAAATATTATATGGGATGTCTTGTAGTTTGTTGTGTGACATTCTTAGAGCATGAAGTTTTGGAAGTTCGTTGAAGTAATTTTCTGGTATAGAAGAAATTGAATTATTTTCTAAAGACAGATACATAAGTGAAGAGGGCAAACCAGGAGGCATTGATTCTAACCTGTTATAACATAGGTTGAGCTGCATTAATTTTTCTACTTTGCCAAAAGTTTTTTCCTTTAACATAGAGTCATCGAGATGATTATGACAGAGATCGAGCATGGTCAGATTTGCTAATGTATCCATGGCGTTTGTCTGCAATCTGGAGATCTTATTGTAACCAAGAAGAAGTCTTTCTAGAGACTTAGGAAGAGGTAATGGGAATTCTTCTAAGTAGTTATACTGTAGGTGAAGTTGTAGTAGATTTGACAACTTAGCAAACACACCGTGATCAATCTTGTGAGACTTAATTTGGTTGTGGCTGAGGTTGATTTCTTTAAGATAAGTGGCATTGGTGAATGAATCTACAGTCACAGCCTCAATTTCATTGAACTGCAAATAGACTTGCTGAATGTGTGCTGGAATCTTTGGGATTATCTTGAGTCTGCGATTATCACAGTACATTGATAATGGAAAATCAGATGGACAGAAGCATTCACTGGCACAGCCTAAAGTGTATTGATGAAAAGGAACTCCATAGTCGACATTTTGATGAAATTGGAATTCTGGTTGGTAGGCCTCATCTGGCTCTTGATCATAATCTTCATCCCATTGATAATATTCATATTGGCAATACACTTTGACTCCAAAAAAGAAGAAAATGATATATACTGTACTTAAAAGACCCATGTTCCTTTTTTCTCCTAATGCAGGGAGAAAAGGAAATATATTACAGGAAAAGTGAGTAAAACTTAGAATAATTCTCATGTAAACTGACACTATATAAAATGCATGGTATCTATGAAATATATAAAACAATGTCCAGAATGAATGGGGAATGTTCAAACCAAAACTAATGTTTAAGTACCAAAAGGTAGTATATATTTCTAAAGTTGCATACTTCTTTGCACCAGTCTAAGTAACCATTTCATAGAAACTCATTTCTTTTGCTACTAGACTATAGCTTTACAATAATAGTGTGATGTATCTTAACCCAAAGTTGGATGCCCCCCCTCAAACTATAAACACAGGGTATTCATACGGACTTCTTTGTTGTCACCTAGTGACGGTCACTGTTGATGAGAAGAGGGCCCCTATGTTTTGGTTACAGAGTTGTTACCTAGGAGATTCTTAACCTTAACCGAAAAATTCTCACTTCAGCTCTGTTTGCTAACCCAAAGGTTTCTCTCTTCAACTTTATTTGCTGATACTCTTTCTGTTTGAGGGAAGAACATAAAATACTCCCTTTATGTGAGAGCTTGAGATTTAAAAATAACTGTCATGTTTCCTCTTAGTGTTTTCTGCCCAAACCTAACCATGCCTTCAGATTTTCCTCCTGAAACATTTTCCACAATTATTTAATCTCTGACTCTACTTGAATTACTACTTCAAGTCCCAAAGATATACAATATTGCACCCTACAAAGTTTCCATTTCTAATAGGTTCTTCTACACATCTTTCTGATCTTCCTAGCTTCCTTCTTTATGCTAATGTTTTTAGGCTAAGTTCTAGGTTTACAGATACTGAAAAAAACACTGTCACTGTCTCAGGAGAATAGAGGAGGATCAGGGAGATGAGAAAATATGCCCTGGGCAGGAAAGCAAGGGTGGCCATGTACAGTAAGCAGGAAGGTGGGATGGGAAAAGTGAAAGGAGGCAGGCAGTGAGCTAGTGACTGGGGGTGGGTGTATAGGAAAGCCTTTCTTGAGAAAAATAGTTAGCTCTCTTGTTGAACTTGAAGTTGGGAGTGGGATATTGTGTGCTAGAGAAAGAAAGAAAAGAAAAAAGGATAGAAATCCTTTTCTGTCCCCTCACTTATGTCACTGAAAGTCTCTGAGGAGAACAGCAAACAAAACATGTCATCAATCTAATGAGAGTTGTAAAACCTCACTCACTCATTTCATCGGCAGTTTTTAGGATTTGAGATTTACATGTGACAGTGCTCTGAGAATTAGAAAGTGAGCCACAAAGATGAAGTATGTTATTTAGGAAAACATTAAACAATAAAAAGAATCAAGCTGTTTCACTCTGAGGCCCTTTCTTTCTACCCTTCACCTCTAGGGTTTCATGCCTTTCTAATGTCCTAACGCATCCTGTACGTAGTGAAATTCCTACTTATGTAGAATTCATCTAATTATTTTCGCCATTGGGATAATGGTAAGAAAATAGTTACTTAAATCATTTTTTTTCTAACAGGACTCCATTTGAGAGACGTCCCTAGGCCCATGTAGTTCAGTTTCTTGTCTTGAAAGAAACTAGAAGTATGTAGAATGCAAATATTGTGTGTGCTTGGGATTTTAAGAGTTACTCAGGTAGAGCCAGCAGCCCTGAACCTTTTTCCTTCAATGATATTCCCTCCAGCTGCCCTTGCACTTCCTTGTCACACCACAGGCCTTGTGGTCACCAGAACATCACATTCTGACAGTTTCTCCTGTCTGTATAACTGTATACTTATTATGTATCTAACTCCATACAGAATAATTTTCCAGGTTTACTGGGACCTACCATATTTTGGTCCTACTGATTAATCATTGTCTCTCCTCCATGCCTCCCCATACTCAGTTCCTACAGCCTAGATCCTGTAGTGCACCGCTCTCGCAACTCCTTTACATGTGCCTTAAACTTCCTGCTCTCTTAGGTTCTCTTCTTCTTATGTCACTATTCCCTGATTACTTCAGTTCTTTATCTACACTCAGCCTGACTTTTGCTATTGAATATGAGAGAACAGTAGGACTAGCAACTGGTCTCATTTTAAATGTGATCCTTCAAATACTATCCAATATCTCCATAAACCGTTCTTTTCACTTCCTCCAGAAAAACCTCTAAAACCTCATTCCCTCTTAGCTTTAGATAATTATTTTCCTTGCCTTTCATTTACCCCAGCAATAAGCCAAAACAATAATGGTTTGAAATTTTTTTACTATTTGTGATTTTATTGTTTTTTAAAGATTTGTTTATTTATGCTTACAGAATTGGGGTATAAGCCAGAGGTGCAGGGTGAAAGGATTCACCAGAGACAGAGTGGGGAGCAGAACAGACAGATGACAAAGTACACTGCTGAGAGGAGCAGCGGGTAATTCAGGAGAGGTCTGCTGCACCGTATGGGTCACCTCCCTGGCCATGGATTGAACTGCAGTGACTTTGGTAGCTACACAGTGCTATGCTTTAACCTGTTGCACCACGAGGGAGGGCCCTATCTGTGATTTTAAATCTTATGGATTCCTAAATACACTATGTCTATTGTCTTTATCCTGGGATTCATAGACTTTGAATGTATACTGGAGATTTCAAAGAAGGAGATGTGGAAGATTTCCAGATAGAAGAGATGGATAAAATCATGTAAGCAACGAAGGGTGAGGTTTTTAGGAAAAAGTGATGTCCTGTCAATGGAGCAAAGACTATCAGGACCATAAAAAAAAAAAAAAGGGGGCCCTCCCTGGTGGCACAGCGGGTTAAAGCACAGCACTGAGAATCTAAAGCCGCTTCCGCATGAGTTC